TATAAAATTTGTGGCGGATTCACAAGGTGTAGACAGCCATCCGCCCGATCAGTTGGCAACACGTTGAGAGAACCGGCAACGCTGGCTACACCTCCCAGCCGTTTCAGTTCTGTTCCGTCAGGTGCCCGCGCACTTAGCTGAAACGTCGCGAAGAAAATTGTGAATTTGAGGTGCACTTAGCCGAAGTGTCGCGAATGGAAGCTTTGTGAGACGAAGCCTCATTTAGCTGATGTCCGTACACTGAGGCGAAGCGTCGCCGTCACGTCTTGAACGGAATGAATGGCGAGGTGCGAATTTTATTCATTTCACCATAGAGAAACGTCGTGCGTCTATATATTTCTCCAGCGTTCTTGTTAAGTTGATGTAAGTTTATTTTGAAGTTTAGTAATAATGGATTTATCTAAACCTTGTGCTTTATTATTTATTACAAGCATCTGACGTACGCCTTGCCGCAACGACACGTCCACCAATTCCCACGACAAATTCGCCAGCTGGTATTCATTAGCTCAACGTCCTTCAACAGTACCATTCGCAAGCAGCGGGTTCCTTATCAAAGTTCATGGTCAATCAATCTTTTATGGTTCAATATTTATGAAACATGTAAGTTTTAAGAACTCCAATCTAGGGCATCATAGCATTGACAGCGCTTTGCTTGCGAGAGAGACCCAAGTCTTGGCATTAATTCAAATTTGAAATTTGAGAGTCTGTGAAGGCCACACTACTCTCTGCTCCTCGACGCCTTATCTCGTGGGATATCTTTCTTCAACATTCTTGTTAAGTTAATGTAAGTTTATTGTGAAGTTTAGTAATAATGGATGTATCTAAACTGTATTTTTTATTTATTGCAAGCCTCTGACGTAAGCCTTACAGCAGCGACACGTCCGCCAATTCTCACGACAAATTACCTGGTATTCATTGGCTCGACTCCAAGCAGTGGGTTCCTTATCGAAGATTGTGGTATGGTACAAAGCAAATCTTTTATGCTTCAATATTTCTAACACACATGTAAGTTTTAAGAACCCCACTCTTGAGCATCATAGCATTCACAGCACTTTGATCGCGAGAGAGATCCTAGACTTGGTATTAACTCAAACTTTAGAGTCATAAATGCCCTGAAGGGCCAACTTTCTTCTGGCGCGTACCGTGAGAGAACCACTTCCTAAGAATTAGGGAAGCGGATTGCAAGATCAACACTTCTTGTTAGTTGAAACCCATCTTCGATGCCCCTTTGGAGCTCTTGCACAAAATTTTTATTTGATCAAATCCTCATCCTTGACGCTTCACAAAAACTAATGAGATTACAGCAGTTATAAGAATCTCACAGAAAAGCAAAATAGAAATTAATCAAAATCTAATAATATTTGATTTGGTTTTGTTATGTAGGTACACTATGTATATTTGTGTCATTATTAGTTTCAATAGATGTCGATAATCAACGTTTTTTGTCATATTATTGATTGTCCACTGATAAGTTATTATGCTATATAATTTCATTACTATTATGGTGAAACTTATAAGGTAGTTTAATATATTAAATCCAATGCATTTATAAATTCAAATAAGGAGCAACATGGCGGCGGCGCTATTATTTGTCCTTGCCGTTTTATTAGTTTTTGTGGAGTGTAAAGTTGAATACCAAGTTAACATGTTATAATATACTTATTTTATATTATTACATTCTTAAAATACCCAAGTTCAAGTAGTTATTTCTATTAAATGTATTGCCTCCAGGAATTCAAATTGGGAGCAACATGGCGTCCGGAGGTAATTAGGTTAGGATACGCTACTATTGACTTTTCAAAATATCTACGCTATGAGTAATACTTCGAAAACAGAATTTACATAAGATAAGCATCTCTGGAAGAAATTACTTGATAAATTTGACCATCGCCCTATTCTATTTTTATTCATAGTTATCTCATCAAGTAATAAAAAAAAAATACTAATCATACAGGGTTTTCCAGTGGCTTGGTTATTTCCATATAAACAATGATTCAGGAAATAGTTCAATAAAAGTAATGTTTCACTTTATTATTTTCAGATTTCCCCAAGATGCTGAAAGACGTGCTCTTTGGATTAAAAACAATGTCTATATTGCAAACTGGAGTTCTTCTAAAAATAAAAAAAATATATGTTCAAAGCATCTCTGGACCAATATTATTTTACCATATTGGGGCAAGAAGTCGTCTGCTAGATGACACAGATACCCATAATAATTCAGGAATTGCCAAAAATATCTTCAGGAAAAGCCTCAAACGGAAAGGGCGAGTAAGGCTAGCAATATTCGATTAATCCCTCGATTATCACGTTAATTTCTTCTTAATTTCAAATATGATTACGTATGATTTTTTTTATAGGCAACAAAACGACTCCGGCAAGAAATTAATGATTCTTCAACAAGTGTCAGAACTGGATTCGGTGTCATAAATGAGAAGATTCACCATGAAAGGAGAAACTGAGAAAACAATTGTTTCTAGGAAGGAAAACGAGAAAAATACATTCAACAAAAATTCAAACAGAATTTCTAACTTACAAGGTAAAAGTAAAGATATCGTGGCGAATTCCGGGCTCACTTAAAATCACTTGACTTCAAAAGAATATACGCATCACTTATCGAAACGTACACAATAAATCTCTTATTAAAATTGACTTCCAAATGACTACTACGCGCTAGTTCTAGACGACATCGTACTCCTGTTTTTATCATAAAATTATTGTATCGAATACAATGAAATTCCCAGAATAGACGCACTGTAGACGTAAACAACTGGGTTCCTAGAATTCTGGCCGGGATATCGATGCAATTCCGTAACACCATCCGGATGTGACCATTTATCCTTGATAAACATCCAACCTGTCAAGATACACCACCTTCATCTTTCCCTTGGGCCTGGATTCAATACCTCACATCACTGAGTCTCCTTATAATCGGCTAAGGGCCTTCACGTGCTGGTGTTAGCTGTCTTTTTTTGACGGCTATGAAACCAAACTCAGTCATTCTCCTGAAAACCTGTAGAGTTCGCCTTAAGATCATATCTAGTTTTCATTTGATGACTTGCGAACTCTGTCCTATCCCTAACTTTGTCGTGGTTGTCCAGCAGACTTTTCCGCAGATCGTCAGCATAGTCTTTGGCTATCATGACGGCGATATCTGATATATGGTTACCCGAACGTCAAGTCACAGAGTAAACGATACTCCCTTCCAAAAAAAAACGCCTTGGCTGTTATGTTGTTATTCCTATTGTTGTGTACGGCCGACCTATGCTGGTCCCAAACGTCCTGATGCTTGTCAACTCCTTTCGAAATATAACATCGATTGTCTTGTTGAACCTCTCATCCATGCCATCTGATTGTGGATGCCATACCGTGGTTCTGGTCTTGTGAATGCCTAGCAGTTCGCAAAGTTTTTGAAATAGTCGTGAATCGAAGTTGTTGACGAGGGCTTTTGCAACTATAGATTTTTCTTGGTTTGGAATAGTCTAAACCTCAGGCCACTTGCTGAAGTAATCCATGGCAATCAGGATGCATTTGTTACTACTGCGCCTCTCGGGGAATTAACTGGCTATGTCTATTACCATTCGTTGAAAAGGTATCCCCACGTTGTAGTGCTTCATTTGTCCCTTGTCCAGATCGCATTTTCATGACCTTGAAATGCTGCGCACGTTGTCACCATACCTTGACATCCTGGTAAAAGCTCATCCAGTAGAATACGTCAGATGAGTTGTTCAAGGCCTTGATGACTCCCAAGTAGGCATTGACTTATGAACTTCTAAAACTCGAACAGCTTTTGTCCTAAGCACGACCAATTACGTTTTTTGCCTAGTTCACCAACTGCACTCTCCTAGGTCTGTTTCAGTAAACCATTTTCGATCAGCAGTGAGTCCCATCGAGCCCACGGCGCCTTGAAAGTTAGGCTTCTAGGTGATATTTTTTCAAGAACCTTTCTTCTCCATCTTATATTTGCGACAGGGCAGCTCCAATACTAGCGTTGCTTCCGGCTGTGTCCAAAATATTTTTTTCATGTACGCGTGAATAACGTAAAATTGGACTGGAACATATAGTTGGATTAAACTTCCAGTGGACAACACTGTCTTTGCTGGTAATACCCACCTGCCATTACCGCATTTTTTTTCCAAAGTAGAAAACCCATTTGAGTCTGCCAATTTCATAAGGGTATCGTCAATTCTGGGTAATAGGTAGCTGTATTTCTTAGTGCTATCGTTAAGCTTTCTGTAATCGGCGCAAAATCTGGTAGATCCACGGACTTGGAGACTCTTCAACAACTCCCTCTGCCACCCTCCACTTCTTGTTGTTGGGTCATGGGAAGTCTTCTAGATGGTTGACGGTTCGGATAAGCACTGCTAGTATTGATTTCATACTTGATGATGTTCCTCTCACCAGTTTCGCCATTTATACCCTCAAAGATATCCTTCTTCCCACAAACAAACTGTTAAGTCTTCTTAAGTTCCGTAGAAGAAGATGTTGCCAAGATGTTTCGTCTTGTCTATTGCCTTTCTTTCCTCGATGTTCTCTAGCCTTACACTTTGAAATGTCTTTGACAGGCTCATAAGTGGCTATGACATTGCCCTTGTTGACTGGAATAGTGTTGCTATTCGGACTGGTATAATTCCTTGTGAGTTCACCAAGGTTTCTCTGACGAGGTATTTATTGTAAATTTGGCACAAGTCCAACGCGGATTTCAGAATGATTCTCCAGCTGTCCACATATAATTTTTTCGTTGCTATTGCTCTGCTCATTGTTGCTGAATTATTTGATGGCAGAAATTTAACTGAAGCGTTTCCGACCCGACACTGGGCGGTCTGGCTCGGTGGCAATACGAACAAAAATTCGATTTTGTGTCGCGTCGCGTCCTCTCTCTTTCCTTGTATGAGGCTCGCTACTATCAGAATGAGAAATGCTCATAGTTCGATTTCGCACTAGTTGATGGCGCTGCATCTACAGTGAGGGGCAAACGAGTTTATTTGAAAACAGGCAAGATGTAGACACGTGTCGAGTTAGAAAACAAAGAGAGGAGAAAAGAAAAGGAAAATACAACACATTCAACAGGCGAGCACAGTGCAGCAAGTGATTTGAGTTTTGGTTTAAAAAAGCGGATGCTGTTTAGTTTGTTTCCTACCTTGGTGGTTGGTACTCGAACGCGTTCGAATGTTGAACACTGAAAGTTTCTCATAAGTAACTTTCGTACTTAGTTTTTCTGAAGAATTAATCAATTAAATGTTAAAAAGTTTGTACTACTGTTAATGTTGTAAAGTTAAAAGTAAACTTTGTGATCCTCGTGCGGTGTTGGTTTTTTATAATCTCGTTTATAATAATAACAATAATAATAACTAAAGACAAAAGTTGAATTAAAGAACTTTTAAAAGTGTGTTTAGAGTGTTTTAAACTGACGACAAAGACGTTTATTTTTGTTTCGCTATTTTTTTGAACAATTGTTATTTAACTTTTATTGAAACAATTATTACTGGATATATACAAGATAGAAAGTGTTTTTAAAGAATACATTAATTTAATAATAACATTGGTTTGCTACTGTTATTACGTGATTTGTCCGAATAAAAACTATTGTTGAAAAAAACTTTATATCGTGTGGTAAAGAAGTACCTCTGAAACATTTTTTTTTATCGGCGTGCAAATAACACCCTGACTAAAAATAGATTTTGTAAAGTGTTAAGATCACGTGAAAATATACTTAATTCAAGAAAAACATCGTAATTTTAATAATAAACAAATGGATGTTCGTCATTGAGAGACTTTTGACAAAATATCTCCTCGTCAACCAGCGAACTTTTTTCTAGACATTTTAACACACATGGTAAGTGATCATCAACATTATACACATCAGAATATTATGTTTTTCGAAATTTTAGTGTTTATTTTCGTCTTCAAGGCCGCTAAATTTCGCTGCCGCTGCCTGTATACTTAACCACCCCGAGCTCTCTCATGATAATACAACATGATGATGAGCGCGGCTCTATTATCATAATTATCATATTGACCTCTTATTTTATTTTCTGAATGTTGATTCGCTCGTCATTTTTCATTGTTACGATTGCGTCAAAAGTCTGACTTAGTTGGTGCGATAAAAAAAAAAGTTAAAAGGTACAACTTGGAGTGATATACTACTTAATAATGTATATGTATGTTAAGAATATATAATTTGCATATTATTATACTAAGTATAGCTTCTATTTTTATTTCAGCTATCTCACTCAACAATATATTATATCATTATATAGAATGGTAAAACTAGATCTGTACAGTTTTGGCAACCAGTTTTTAGTAGGTTGAAAAAGAACTAGCGATCCTAATTTATGCCGAGCCACATTAACCCTTCAGCAAGACAACTTCGGAAAATCAAATAGCCACTATACCACTATACCAAGAATTTGCCGCTTTCTTGCCGGAAATTTGTTGTGAAATTAAAAAATGTCCCGCTCTTTGTTTGTGTTCTGCTAACTTGACGTCAAGTTAGCGGGACAACATAATATCTAAAAATAAAGGCAACAAAAAATTCAATGAGAGAAACAGAAAATTTACCTTTTGTTTGTTGCTAATTATTTGTGAGAACTTAAGATTGCTCGCTCTTTTCCAGCTGAAAAAATGGCGTCTGAAAAAAAAGTGTCCCGCTAGCTTATAACGTCAAGTTAGCGAGATAACATCACTAAAAACGACGACAGCAAACAAATTTATTGTGGTGACAATTTTAAACCTGTATTTTGAACCAATCAAAGTCTGGCATTTTGATACTTTTGAATACCAACCCTTGGTTAGTACCCTGAGCTTTGACATGTTATCAAATTCTCATGGCTACCGAGGCTGAAAGCTACGTCACAGACGGTGGTCTCATCAAAAGTAGCTAGAATAATAGGTCCACATCTGAATCAGTTCCAGTCTTTTCCTTATTGCTTTTGGCAAGGTCCAAGACTCCACTTCACTCTACTCTACTATAGTTTAGACATTTGGATGAACGCTGCCCTTGCTTTTGGAATTGTGGCCTTTATGTCCTATGATACTCTGGGATTTTTTGACATGTTATCAAATTCTCATGGCTGGTACCGAGGCTAAAAGTTGTACGTCACTGTCGGTGGTCCAATCAAAAGTAGCTAGAAATAATAAGTCCACATCTAGAACGTTTCCAGTCTTTTCCTCGTTGCTTCTGTCAAGGTCCAAGACTCTAGTCTAGTTTAGATATTTGTATGAACGCTACGCTGCCCTTGCTTTCTCAATTCTGGCCTCTATCTCCTAGTAATGGTGCCCTGGGTTTTTTTGACATGTTATCAAATTCTCATGGCTGGCACCTAGGCTGGAAGCTACGTGACAGTAGTTGATCCAATCAAAAGTAGCTAGAATAATCAGTCCACGTCTGGAACGTTTCCAGTCTTTTCCTTGTTGCTTCTGTCAAGGTCCAAGACTCTACTCTACTCTACTCTAGCTTGAACGTTTGGACGAACGCTGCTCTTTCTTCTCTGTAATAATTTCAGCTACTTTGTCCATTAGCAGTTGTAGTCCTTGCGCAGTCCAAAAACTACGTTGTCATCGGCATTATCTTAAATTGTTAACTCGTTCGCCATTTAATTGAATTCCTGTCCCATATGCTCTAGAACTTCTTGGAAAATTGAATATGAAAGGTATGCACCCTTATCGGACTCCCAAAAGAATCTTCACTTGTTCTCTTTTCTCATGATTGTCTTTACCAGAGGCTGCTTGATTCTAGTTCAGTTGATAATTCACAAGTCATCAAATAAAATATCTCACAGGACCTCCATCATTTTGTTGTGTCGAACTTTGTCAAATGCCTCATGATAATAGCCGCTTTCCAGCTGACGCTTTTGAGCACGCAATCGAGCTTTTGCCCGCGCAAATGCTTCAAGCCCATGTTCGTGTTCCAGCCGTACTGCGCTTCGAGAGCTGCTAACTTTTGCTTTTCAAACACAGAACACTGTGCTGCACTATGCTTGAAGCACACAGCTGGAAAGCGGCTAATATATGAAGCATGCCTATACATTACATTGCATCCAAGATGGCGGGAGCTGATAGGTCAAGTGCTACTTCCGCTCCGAAAAAAGTACGAGAAAGAGAAACTTGTGCTCATTGAGAGAAGTTTTTTCTGAAGTTCAGTGCAAAAACGGCGATGCATTTTTCCATCCAGCATGTTTGAGGCAGGCTGGAGCGCACTTTGAGGAAATTGTTCACCAGGTAACTTCAAAACCGGAATCGCAAAATATTGTTCATTTAGAGACGATATTAATTGAATGTTGCAGAGAATTGAGCGTCAGAAAATCCAGTCCCTCGAAGAAATAGTGGAAAATACTAAACCTGAAAAAAAGCTAAGCGAACAAACACGGTAAAAAATAGCGGCAGTTCTAACTCGAAAAATGGCACACACACTGCTAGAGGCCAAGTCAACCTAGTGCTACCGACCGAACAACTCTGGGTCCCTATTTTCGAAGCCGAGAAGCAGCGTTCTTATGACAACGATTGCTCTGTTGTCAGTGTTATGGAAATATCAATATGAGTGACGAAGAGAGAACCTTCGTTTTCATGAGAATGCTGCTCCCTTGTTTGAAGGATAAGGACCCAGGTAATTCAAATCAAGGATGATACACACTACTTCCACAGGATGACCTATCCTCATAAGGCCTATGTGTAACAAATCCCCCCTTCCCCCAAAGCCAAATCACCAGTTGTGACGCAGGCAGCATATTATTTCTCGCCTTGACGTAGGCTGTTTAAGCAGCTGACGACTTAGTTTTGACGTCGGAAATGGTAACACACCAATAGGGCGGCCGATAAGCAATCCTGTAAGTGTGTATCATCCTTGGTTCAAATGACTCGCCCAAGAATGAAGTTTTTGACGTTGAAACCGTTGACAGTATTGACGCTGTTTCGGATGCTGGCACCAGAGTCAACACAAGCAAAACATTAATCAAAAAAAAAAACACGGAAAACCAAGAAGTTTCTCCGGAAAATTCTGTAAATTTACCCAGGAAACGGATATATGTCGGAGAAAAACGCGTTGATCAAGATCAGGGCGACTAGAAAACTGTTCTTCGCAAAAAAAAAAAAATTAAACATAGAGCGGACCCGAAAAACAGACAAATTCCATTTGGCTGTTTGTTTCAAGATTGAACACACAAACCAACCCCGACGAAATTAAGTCGTATCTAGAGGAAAATGGCGTTTCGGCGATGGTATCTTGTTCTTCGCAGATTTTGTACAGCCTCCGATGTATAATTTTTCAAAATAGATTGAATAAGTGATTCATAAGATTTATTGTTTTGTAATCACTGCACCATTTGGCTCCCTGTTTCTAAGGTACTATTCTATAAATCTGATCCAGCCATTCTTCAGAAATTTTTCGACCGTTGTATATTTCATTAAATATGATAGTTAATTCATTGGTTAATTTTTGCTTGAAATCTTCATCGAACACTTTGATGGGCCAGGAGCCCTTTTTTCTTTGATAGACAGAACTGCTGCCTCAACCTAACTCAAAAGGGCCTAGTGTTCTGCTAAGAAAAGAAAGTTCTGCTACATAATTCTTCCGTGTTGATTTTTGTCTGTTCTTTGTCTATAATAATTTCTCCATGATCAATCTCCGTTCTTCCCGCTGCTTTTTTTCCACAATTTCCCTGTTATTTGCTTTACCTTCTTGTGTACGTCAAATGACGCATATGTTTCCGAGATATTACGATTATTGAATCTTTGTAACTACTCAAAACAAAATTATGGCGATTTCCATTTGTCAATCAGTGCGCACTGAGTGTATCCGCATCTTTTTCTAAAAGCATGTAAAATATAAGAATAAGGATACATTTTTTTTGCACCGATTCTACAAATGGAAATCGCTATCAGAATGTCAAGCCGGATATTAGCTGCTGCAAAACTATAATTGGTTAGAAAATGAAATACTGGAACTAATAAAGTTTCCTGGAACGGCATTCATGCATGACTAACTTGAAAACTGAATATAACTAGGTAGGTAGGTAGTTGAACAAATGTGTGTGGGAGAGGCAAAAAATACATAAAAGTTCACATCCAGGAAATGCAATAAAATAAAATATATTTCGAGACACGTTTAAGCTTGAAGAAAATATGAAATCCGTTCCGGCCTTCTGTGTCCGTTCGTGTACATACATATAACGAACATAAAACCTCGTCCGTGCCAAAAGAACGCCTTCCCACTGCTTTTTTTCAATTTCTTTTACCTTTTACGTACGCCAAATGTATCATGTTTGACCTGTGATTTCTCAATCTCTATTCATAATTAATTACCAACTCCTGAATCCAAATTTCGATACATTTTCTGGTATCGTGTTCGTTGTGGCGAAAATGTTTCAATGGTGTTCAAAAATATCTTCATGTCAAGGGGATGCAACGTTGAAACCGTAGATTGAAGCGCTAATTAAATCTCCGGCAGACATCTCGGTGCCCCTAAGGCGAAATGTTGAGAATTTGAAAATGCATTCTTGTAAGTATACCATTGTTCCCTGAATAAAAATATCCTTGTCGGACTTCTCCATTGATATATTTTAGCCGTGGGGTTGAAACTGTGCGATTAAGTAAAAAATTATTGCGGGATCTTAACTAGGAATTTAAATCTGTACCTAACAAATACTTAAATCACTCCAATGTTGTTAAGACATCAATTGAGACGAAGTTTGTTGGGAAAATTAGTATGGGCTCAACAAACTCCACGCATTGAAGACGTTTGAATTTAAAGTTTCGATGACGAATGTAAAATAAGTGGTGAATTATCTTTTAACTCCTAATTTGATTAGACCGCGAAGTGAGTATATTTATTGCACAAAT